GGCAGCGCCACCGCCTCTCCCACCAGCTCCTTCACCTCCCGGAGAAACTCCCCGTGCAGCGACACGTCGCGCTCGTCGAACACCACGCGGTGTGTCTCCAGCACGTCGCGCACCCTGTTGCAGTCCTCGAACGTCTTCCTCACGCCCCGCAACGACGTCGTGTACACCACCACCGTCTCGCTCCCCCCCGGCGGACACTTCTCCGGAAACGCGCTCAGTGGATCCCGCCGAAGCCGCTCGAACGCCGACTCCTTCTCCTCCTTCTCTCTCTCCAACCTGTCCCGAACTATGAACACGTTGTCTTTCAACTTGCTCCCTCGCGCCACGTTCACGTTAGCCGCAACGGGTTTTACTGTTTCGGGGTTCACTGCGTCGGGCTTCACTGCGTTGGGCTCTTTTGCTTGGGGCTTGGGCTTTAACTTGGAGTCTAACTCTTCGAGTGTGTGGAAGGAGTTAGTTTTTTGCGGAGGTTGAGGTTGAGGTTGAAGTTGAGGTTGCGAAGGTGGTGAGGTGATAGGTGGTTTGGTGATGACGGGTTTGAGGTCTTGGAGTGTTTTGCTGACCTCCTCCCATGATTGAGGGGCGTCGGTGGCGTCGAGCATGTTGAGTTTGTGGAGGATAGGAGCGGGGAGAGGGGTTTTGTCTTGGTGGATTTGGGTGGAGGTCTCGTTCAGGTGCTTCAGCCATGGCTCCTCTATCGCGTTTATGTCGAACACCGCGAAGCTCGTCGGCGCCGGCCGGTAAGGAACCGCTGCCACATCCACACCCTTAGAGGAAGCACACCCCATTTCCCTTCCTTTTCTTTCTTTTACTCTCTCACTCTGTCTCTCCTCACGCTAAGCTACGTATACAAATAACTTATATACACACATAGGACCACCTACATACTACATCTAATTCTTTTTCACCACCTCTTTCACCTCTTTTACTTTGATATATATTTATATTTATTTTCACGTTATAAAAATAAAATGATAAAAAAATAAACTTTTATATTTTAAAATAAAAAAATATAATATGAAATGAATATGAGTGTAGAGTTTCTGACCTTTCATTTTGTTTTTTGAAAATAGGTCATTTCATTACTTATTACCATTTAAAAATATTTTTAGTCATAACAAAAAAATTATTTTGTATTTCTAAAGAAATAAAAAAAAAAGAATAGTTTCAAGTAATAATGTTCTAACTATTTTGTGTCAAGTATCATTGTCCATTTCCTTTCGTCCACTTATTTTCGAATTCATTATTCATTCAATCTATGCCTTTTATTTTATTTCCGGAGATTTCGATATAAAAGCAAAATAAAATTATAATTATTTCAAACACGCTATTATCCGTATTAAGGCTTGTTTTTCTTCATTTCTTATGCGTGGCAAAGGATTCACTTCAAAATTTTTTCCAAAATTAACTACCTATGTAATTTGATATCAGATAAAGTAGGCTAAAATCTATCCATTGTAAGCTAAAAAGTTACTCCATACTTTTAGCTAGAAAAAGAAAGAATCTCACCAATGCATAAAAGATAATTCGACAAAAGTTATATTTTTTAAGACATGTTTGTCGAATTATAAAGCATCTATGGACGGAGAAATGGTAGGTAGAGTGACACTAATAAATTTAGGACCAAAATGTGAAAGATGAAGAAATTTCAATTTTATATATTTAAGTTGATAAATTAAAAATATAATAAAAAAGGGAAGTAGAGATAATGATAATGTTTAGGTTGATATAGGCGTGGTTGGAGTGTGATATTATAGTTATGTGGCTTTGGTAGAGAGATTATCCGTGTGGTTAGGATTATAATGGACAAAATTATGGAAAGCGAGAGATAAGAGAAATGTGTGAGTGTGTGTTATTTTACGTGGACACGTGGACCTGCCAGTTATAGCCACCACAAACAATCAATTCTAGTTTGGTCCCTCTCCTCTTCTCTCTGTCTCTGCACCATGCATTACATGCTTCTCATTTCCACCACAACATCTACACAACGCATAATGCCAACCTTTTTCGATATTTTCCCTTCCAACCAAACTTTCTTTTTGCCTTTCTTCCTCCACCTCCTTTTTCCTTCCGGCACCCCCATAAAACCTATTATTCCCAAACAATCCCTCGTTAAAATTATCAGACCGAGTGTTTCAGAAGTTATTTTTTAAAATACTCAATCTTAAATATATAAAAAATATATTTTAGATTAAATTTTCTTGAATATTAAAATATTTTTCACACTAAACTAAATGTTTCAAAAAGTATTTCTAAATATGTAAATATATTTCAAAACAGTAAATCCAAAATGTATAATAAATATATTTTGGATTAAGTGTTTCAAACAAATATTTTGACTTTTACAATATCCAATTTAAAATATTAAAATATTTTTCAAAAAGATATTTTTAGATCCAAAAAATACTATTCTAACTATTTCTGGAATAAACTGTGGTTCAGTGCCACACACTGCTAAAGGGTTGGCTGCCAGCTCGGGCTAGGAACACCAAACAAGGATAAAGTGAGGTTTTTGAATTTTATGCAATACATGAAGAGAAAAGGGAGGTGCACAAAGAAAACGCTTTTTTTAATGATTGTTAAAGCCCAGCCCAAAGCCCATAGACACCACCAATGACGCAGTTGGACTTAGCTATGAGCTATCCATTGTTGTTTTACTTTTGGCAATATGTTCATTCTTATCTTTCATGCCAATACGGCCATTTCACTCAAATAAAAACACATGTCCAAATAACCAAGTTATTATATTGGAGCAAAAGAAAATATTTAAGTAAAATTGAACTTTCCGTTTTTCTGAATCTTGCTCGTTTTTAATTTAATTTAATGTTATTATTCACTCTTTTGTAATTTTACGTTATTAAAGGATTATTACACAATAATTCCCAGTATTTGATTGCTTACTCTAAATTAATTTTATTTTTCGTATGAAAGTACTGATTTGGTTTCTGCAGAAATGACATATTCACTTATTTTTTTCTTTTCAATTTACTTGTACCTATAATAGTACAGATAATATAATTGATAATCACCTAATTACTTTTGTAATGATCATAAATCATGATTACTGTACAACATATTTGTCTGATAAATTATTAGTTAGATTATCAATCTTATTACATCAAACGGTATAAGCATGATCGATCGAATTAAAGTAAATTAATTCTAAAATCATTCACTTAAAATTTAAATAACAATCAGTCATATTTTAACTGTAATTAAGTTAATTTTAATTAAAAATTTATTATAAAATTTATAAATAATGATTTGAGATAAGAAAATAAATTATACATTAATTACGTATTTATTATTCTTGTATTATAAACTGATATGATTTTAATATTGGACGACCTAACCAATATTCCTTACAAGTGTTTGATTAACAGCTTTTATTTGAACAACTTGTTAAAAACCGATTAGTTTACGTATAAAAAACGATTATCTTTAATATTTTTGTGTGTTATATTTCCTCATTTACTTATAATTTTTAGGTTACACTTATTAACTCGTATACTCTTATAGAAAACAGTAACATGATGTTTTATAAAGACAAAGCATATTCTTGCATTAAAAAATCCAAACCTTGTCAGACAGTAGTTGATGAAGGTTCATTCATGCACTCTTGCACAAATTCTACGAATGTTTGTGGGAATATTTTGTTATAGGAAACAATTAGAAAAAAATATTTAAAGATAATATTTCCAACATAAAAAAAGAAGTAACATTAACATGTGATGATCCCAATGGGTTTGACATGGCTGGGAAACTGGAGCAATGTCACGGACCACATAGACAAAAAAAAGTATGTCCCGTGAAGTGAAGGCATCTTCTAATAATTGTTTTCTTAGTAAAACTATGATCATTTATCCAAAAGTGCTTCGAGTCGGGACAAATATTGTAGGAATTTTGTTCAGTTCCAACTAAAAATTCCACTAATCATCCTTAAGATCCACAAATGATGTTCATACAAGTAATTCAATATTTTTAACAGACAACTTTTCTCCCTTTGCACCAAATTAACATCATTCATTTTCTCTTTTTTCACAAACCAAACACAATTTGGATTAGTATAACAATTTGTAAAATAGGGTTTTAAGTTTTTCCTTATATTTACCTTTAGTATCTGTAAATTTTCAGTTTTTGAATTTCTGATATTTTCTTTTTCAAACAACTCTATGAAAGTTATTCAAAGTACACTCTTTTTATAAAATTATAAAATAGTTGCTTGTTTTTTTTTTAAAAAAAAATTATTGAATTGTTTGTATATTTAAAAGACTTACAAAATTCAGAGTCACTTATAACTTAAATAACACCCACTGTAGTTTAGAACGAAGAAAATAAAAAATGAGTGTATAGAGAAATGAACAAAAACTTATACTTATATTTAGTGTGAAAGATAGTCAATTATCACATATAATAACTAAATCTGAAACTAAACAACGTAAAAAATATTTTTAAATTTAACAAATATTTGTAATAATACATAAATAAAAATTAAATTTTTATATTTAAATATTGTTTTTTTTTAAAAGGTCCATTTAACGAACATGTTTGTTTTTGTAATTAAATTTTAAAGAATTCTCATTTTGTAGTTGTTTCTGTAAATGGCATTTTGGGGTGACAATGTTTTTGAAAATAATAATTAACTGTTTGGATTTAAGTTAAAATAAATAAATTCGGTTAAACTTAATCATAAAAAAATATATAAATATAACTGATAAAATGAACGTGTAGAAGGAGCAGCACACAGAAGACAGGAATGCAGAGGGTCTGGAGCGGATATTTGAAATAAATATGATTCTGAATAGTATTAAATTTGAGAATCTGGTCTGGTTCTGTTGTTTTCCCTTTGGATGGGTCATCACAGGTAGCACACTTGTCATAGCAGTTGCCAACGGTCCAATTTCACATGCGCGCCGCTGAGATAACTTCACCAATAAAAATAAACAAAGTCCAAATAAGACAGTAACGTGTGTGAGGAAAAGTTTTCACACACCAATTTTCAAACTTAAATATATAAGCTTGGATTGTTCATAACATTCAACATTGAACATTGAAAGCTTCACTGAAAATCAAGCAAATGGGGAATTGTTCCATGAAGGGTACCACTGGAGAGTGTCACCATACTATTCGGGTTATGAGTGACAGCGGAGCCATTTTGCAGTTCAAAGCTCCCAAGACTGTGGCTCAAGTGCTTCAACATTACCCTGGTTATGGTATTTTCCGCCAGGGTCATGCTTCGGAACCTTTGCCAGAGCAAGAGAGGTTAAGCTATGGTTTTTTCTATTATCTTCTTCCGTTGAAGGAGGGGCAAAAAAGTTGCTGTGACGATGTTGGAGTTGAAGAAGGAGTGGGAGGTCTTCGAAGTAAGTCTGCAGCGTGTGATTATGTTGAGAATTTGTCAAATGGGTCGGCGCTTGAAGTGTTGCCAGCGGCTAAGAATGGCGTGTGGAGAGTGAAGTTGGTGATTGAGCAGAGGCAACTGGAGGAGATTTTGTCAGAGCAGGTGAATACTGAAGCTCTGATTGAGAAGATGAGGATGGCTGCAAGTGGATGCTCTACCACTAGTCCTTCAAGGAGTCCAACCATGAGCACTTGGAAAGTGGGCTGGAAGACAACACTCTTTAGTGGGAAAATTGCCAAAGACACTGCCAATGCCACTGCAGGCTCTAATTTGTATCTGGGGTCTTGTTAGGGAAAGGGTTTCTAGATACGAGTATAAGCTATGGAGAAAGCACTTAGGAAGTGTGTTAGGTTTTCCATGACGAATAGGTCCATGAACTGCATATATATTTGGACAACCTGTCCAAATTTTAATGAATGTAAGGATTGTTAAAGATTTTCCAGTTTGATAGTATTTCCAGATTTCTGTTTCTGCATCATAGTTACCCCAACAATGGGTCACAAGACACCGATTAATCATCTTCAGGACTAAAACACCAGAAACAGAGAGTTATGTCACTGATGTTTGAGTGAATTTAATGTTTTTTAAGGAATCAGATAGATGTTATGGATTGCCCATCCATGTTTTTCTGAGCATGGCCTGAAAAGTGGTTAAAGTTTGATCCTATATGCAGTGCTACATGGAACTGTTTCACGAGAACAAGTTAAATTTTCCATGAAAAATCTTTTCTTCAGAACCTTTTTTTCAATCTTCCCACCCAGAACAAGAAGTATTTATTTTTATATTTTTATAATAATCAGGTTTGAAGACATATTTGCTGGTTGACAAGACCAGTTGGGTCATATGTTTGAATGCAGTCTAGACGACATAGTCCATCAACAATACGATGTAGGAACCTCAATTATCTGCATTCAACTTCGTACAAGTAACCTTGCCTTATCGTAATCCCACGGCTCAATTTTAATTTCCTATATAATTTCATTAACCTCGTGAAGTTTAAAATACAAAAAGAAATAAAAACTAAATGATTCTGACCGCTAAGAATCGACCTACTACTACCTAACTCAATGTTTTTTCCCTGGGGACACAATAAGATATCAGTATCCATGACTATCCGCAGTTTATATCATAATCCAGCTTTCTTCTACATTTTACCAAACTAAACTCAACCATCGTTAAAATATAATTAGAAAACGCTGAGACGACTTCAGCTATATTACAATTACCATCTGAAGGTGTTTAACGTATATTCGAAGTGCATAAGGTGGAACGCATTTTTTTTTATATCTTTTGGTTTAAAATTACGGTAGGAAAAACATGCTTTTTGTTACTTTTGGGTTGGGAGTAATTTTGAAAGCCTTCACGTAAAAAAGAGTAAGAACGATATTGAAGGGAAATAACAGAATAATGTGTTTAATTTAAAGTGACTTTCATGATAACTTTACTCCAGAGTCTTCCTGAAATGGCTCTACCAAATCAGGTTGCAAAACACTTGAATAGTACATGATTCACAGTGACTCCAGGTCCCAAAATGGTCCATAGCATTAAAATGGCACCATGGTGCTATTCACCAAAAAGATACAAGCAAAGCTACTTAGTATGTCCTTGATGAGTGAGGTATGTATGTAAATCCTCACACCCTTGTATCAACGAGATTCCATTTTCTTAATGGCTTTTTCTATGGCAGGCAGATTGTTTTTAAAGACAGACCACTGCTCTTCAGTCAAACTTATTCCTGAAAGACAAAGGAAGTCAGAATTAGGAAATAAGCTTTCAGTTATAGATCATGATAAGCATCATGAGTTACACAAGGAAACAAATAAAAATAAAGGCCAAATTGCTACACTCAGCGCCACTTGTCTGAAACAGCAGCCACAAACCTTACTTTCTTTTCTTAGTTCTAGTTCTGGATTAGATAAGAAAAGATAAACTTAATGAAGAACTAACTATGAACATATAATCAATGCAGATACAGAATTTTCCTTTTACCTTTTTCTTAGTAAAAGGTCCTATTTATTATCAATCCACACGTGGGCATAACAACTAGCAAGTATCAAGTTGACAAAACCAAATGCAGAATAGTACTGATCTCACCATGCAATAGTGTTTGTTTCACATCACACAGGAATGCAGGACTAGTAAGGCTCAAATAGGCATAGGCACTTTCGTGCTAAAGTGCAGAGGGAATTCTTGACTAGAAGAATTTTGGCATGCCAACTGCAACACTGAGGCTTCTATCTAGTCAAATTAGCAACATGGAGTTGATATGTGTAGTCCAACAAAATATGATACTAAAGACACGTAGTTTCAAATCAAGACACTTTAATGATCTGTGCAAGGAATATATACATAGACCAGTCCAATTAACATAAAGGTGTAATGCTGAGAGGAAACCAAAACCCCTTTTGGTTCAACTGTTTCTTAGATATATCGCATTTCGATCCCACACTGTTACTATTTCAAGGCTAATCTAATTCCATAACCAAGTCCGCAACCTTTTTTTATGTGCTCAACTAGATGTTTATGTGAAACAGAACGGCAGCCATATATAATAGGCTAAAGACACGGCTAATGCCTTTGATTTTCAATGCGATGTATACGGAAGGAGTGCACCGAACATTACACAACACGAAGTCAACACACACACACCAAAAAAGTCCTAAATAAATTGGCCTCAAATATCATATGATGTCAGCACAGTCTTCAACTCATACACTAAACTTAAACCACTATGCAAAGACGTGTTAAGAAACCACTGAATATCAGAAAGGAACGTTTTTTTCCAGTCCCCCTCTCTGGTAATTAGCTTCATGTTAACGACAAGGATTTGATCATAATTAAAAAAGTTCAAAACAAGAACCGCCAACCGCCCCTATTTCGAAAGGTAAAATGATTCTTGTCCACCCAAGATATTGATTAACATTTGATATTCAAGTAGAGAGAATAAAAGTCAAAGGTTTATAGAATATATGATTTCACAAAAAAGAAAAATAGAAAGAAAAATCAAGTCTTTAACAGATGTATACAAAAATGCTCAATAAGTGTATATAAAATCGAGGCGTACGTGTATCATTTCTACATTCCACATACATACACAGAAGAAAAATAAAAACTTTCGGTGTCCCCACAATCCAAAACCAAAACTCCTTTACCAAAGGAAACAAGAGAATCGAAAAAAAGGCTTAACCAAAACAAATAACACAAGCTACCTTTGTTAGAAGGAAGTTCCCGGCCATCTTTATTATAGTACTCGCGAATGGAGATCAACGTTTGCCCTCTGAAATCCTGAACGGTCACCCTTCTCTTCGCTGAAAGCTGAAATCCAAAAACAAAATTAACCCAAGGAACCCTTTTCCCATTGCCACCTGTAAAATGGTAAAAGCGGTTCAGAGGAAAGAAAAACCGAACAAACCTTGCAGATGATGAGATTGCCTTCATTATCGTACTCCTTGCCCTTGGATTCTCCTTGTTCTTCTTCAACTTCTCCCTCATCATTTTCTTCTTGTTGTTGCTGCTGTTCTTCTATTTCTTGCACCTTTTCTTGCAGAAAAGCCCCCACGACCTGCTTCACGAAGCCTTTGAATTGGGGCTGAGACAGGTTGAGACCGAGCTCCTCGGAGGCCTCCTTTCGAATCTTAGACTCCGTAACCTCGTCCATGTTCGACTCTTGCAAAATCCTGCGAACTGTTTCCTCGATTCGCTGTTTTGTGTCAGTATCGTCCATTTTGCAGTCTCGCTGATTTCTCAGACACAACACAAGTATTCTTATAGATTGATTTCGGAGAGAAATTGAAACGAGTTCGGTTGTGTCGAGTAGGTGTGAGTGTAGTGTAATGTCTCTCTTTGTAGCTAAAGCGTGCCAATTAACGGTGTTTATTCACACGTTAAATCAATCCAAATTACCATGAATTGAAAAACTATATTAAAATATCATAATTGAACTGCTAGAATATTTGTAAAATTGAATTGAAATTCAAAAACTGCTAGAATATTTTTAAAATTGAATTGAAATTCAAATTTAATTAAATCAATCCAGATATTTAATATAATACTTTTTAAGAGAAAATAAGATATAAGATTGACCTGATCCAATCCGCTTTAACATATATTAAACCATTTTTTTTCGAAAACATTTTAATTCTATCCGGAAACAAAAATTAACCACCAAAGCACCTGTCAAAAAGTCGTAAATAAGAAACATTTATAATAATTAATTATAAATTATTTTGCAAGAGAAAAAAAGAAAATAATAAATCATATCCACTTAATTATTGTTTTTATTTATTACTTAAGGGAAAGTTCTATAGTTTATTACTTTTTTAACCATGTTTTATTACTTTTGGTAAATAAAACTTTGGATAATTTTATGTTGTTTGCGTTATTTTAAAGTAAGCTTTTTTATTTTACTTAATTGACTTTCGGAAATGGAAAAAATTAAAAGTAAGAAAATATTTTAATAGTTTTGAAAGGTGGTCTCCAAAATTTTGTTTATTCTTAAAAGATCTTTTATAAGTTGATCAAATAGAACAAGTTGGATTATCCGGTTTTCATGTAAACGAATCTAATAAAACAAATTCACCTTTTGAATAAGATAAAAAATATTTAAACTTTTTTCCTAAAATAGAAAACGACAACATTTTAAAAGAATCATATTGATCAATTTAAAAAAAGTAAAAGCCTAAAATAATTTTATAAAATAAAAGATAAAACTGAAACGTATAAATAAAATAAAGAAAAATATGAGTTAACCCGTAAATAAATCAATATTATAATTTGATTTTCATCTTCATCATCCCTTTTACCTCTTCCATCCAACCACACCGACACACTTTCTTTCCCCCTCGCCATCCGGTCTCCTTTTTTTCATTAAAAATAAATTTATTCCTTCAATAATAAATTTAATAAAGGTGACGGAAACAACACCTAAGATCACTTTAAAAACATGTTATATAAAATTGTTTAAAAGTAACAAATCAAATTAATAAAATACAAAAGGAAAACTTTTTCTCAACCATCCTTTAACTCAAAATATTTTATTTATTTTTTATTTTATCAATCCTGTTTATAATTAAGTATTTTCTTCCATTTATATATTTTTTTTAAGTTCTATTTGTAATGAGGTATTTTTTTTCGATTTGTAAGTTTCTTAAGGATTTAGGTCTACATCTTTAACTTATGTTTCACTTGATTATTATTTAAAATATATCTTAATTTATCTATTGATATTTTTATCTTATTATTTTCAATTAATCTTGAGTGATAATCTTTTTTAAGAAAAGATTAAAATCTTAAACCTGTACAATATTACATTATGTATAATTGTGTTTGTATTTAATTAGTTAATATCTCTCTCTAAATGTGTGTAATTTCAATAATTGTTATTTATTTGCAATAAAACGGTCAACAATATTTTAATTTAAAACATTTATTATTAGCATCTCTTACAAAGTTGTGTATATATTTAATCTTCATGCAAGTGCAAAGAGGTTTACGAAATGGTTGTTTTCTTTGAATGATATTTGCATATGTATACTAATATTAATATCCACACTATAACTATTTACACATGGACATATATAGAACTAAACAATAATAAGTTTAATAACCAGCCCGGACGAGTTATTTAACTAGTACTAAGCTAAATAAAACAAAATTATCGTTTCTTTTGGAGGAAAAGAAAAATAAAGACAAACAACATTATAAGATCATTAAAAGATATTATAAAATCCAAAAATATTATATAATTAACTTTTTATATTCCTTTCTCCCGTGTTAAATCCTCTTTCACCTATTCAAGCCTAAGGTAATTCTAATGGAAGAATGCCGGAGATGAATGGAAAAAGCTAACGTGATTCAGAGAAATAATTTACCAATGCATACATGATTACATGACATCACCCTATTTACCAATGCATTTATAAGACGTACATAGATTTCCACAATCCTTACACAATATTGAATTTACCATTATTTGTAGCAGACCAGAACATCACCAACATTTTCTTTACCCACCTCTTCCTTGTAGCTTTTGCTTTTGTCACCTCAAAGTTGAATAGTCCTCCCAACCACTTTACCTATTAGATTTCTTCACACTTTCCTTTTTGTTACTGTAAAATTTGGCACCATTTTAAAGCACTAGTTAGAAGCTATAGAGGCAAGTGAAAGATCAGAAAATCATGCTGATTTGTAGAGCTCAGATTTTCAAACTGAATGCGCCACCCCACTTCACCTCACTCTACATGACTAATACACAAGTTTGAACGGTAATTTAGGCTAGCTAATTCAGATACTCTAATTTCTCCTCTGGAATACTAATTTTCTGGAAACAAAGCAAAAGAAGGCACTTGATAACAAATAGTTGTTCGCAAGCTTTTCAATTATCTTGATAAACTTCAAATTGTGCACAATCAACCAGAATAAAAGTAGAAAATACGATTGTGTTTCTGTGAAACCAAAGTAGCTAGCAGTTCTAATACATTCGCAATATAACAAAGAACTTCTACTCAACTCAGCCAAGCACCCGTGACCCAATTCCAACCAAACATGCCAAATCAATAGTTGAGGCATTCGATAATCAAACTAAAGACCACACCTGCATCAAAACATGTTTGTGCTTATTGAAGTGATACTCTTCTCAAAAGGGTGAACCTCAGGCCCTGATTCTCTTACCTTAGGTTTTGGACATTCGTATTCGGCATACCTAAGAGCCAGTACTTCAATGAATGTCTTTTGCAAATAGTACAGTGGTACAGTTCTAATAGGAAGGTCCGAAGAAGAAATAAAATGTAAACTGGAGCTATGTGAAGAAGCTTTGAAATCACATGGTATGTGTTTAGTTGCATAAAATGGAATACAACAAGGAAGGAAAGCTAAGAAGTGGGCTAGCACTGTCTTGACGGTGAAAATAGGAAATTAAACTATATAGTTAGGACTCTTGGGTCTATCATACAATGTATAGTAAATCATAGGACTCATACTAGATAAAATCACACAGCTGTTGGTTTGGACTATGGACACATGAGAGAAAGTCCTGTTAGAGAACGAAAACAAGGTTAATGGGGGAGGAGAAGGTGTGGGGGACAAAAGAGGTTTGATCATGAGGAGAGGGTGGGGAAAATTCTGAGTTTGCGGAAGCCATGACAAGAGATTAAGCTCTTGATACCATGTTAGAGAACGAAAACAGAGAAAGTAATATTTATTACATTAAATATGTGTATATAATACAAGAGAGAATCAATATATACGAGAGAAGAGACCATGCATGTACAAGCATGCAGACATGAAACATAACACAAAACAAATATAATTGTATCTCTCTTAACAAGTCCAATAGAGGTTCCAATTAGAGAACTGATCAGGTGTAGGGAAGCTGGTTAGAGTAAGAGGCGGACCAAGAGAGATTCAAAGTGAGACTGAAAAAGGATTTATAATCAAATGGGCACCTCAGATGAATCGGTTTCGGATAAAACACAGTAGTATTTATTACCTTGTGGGAGAAGACTTTTAGTACTAGTGGTTGATACACTTCTCATAGACAATATTTTATCGCACTAGATGAGAACAGAATATCATTGGGTTTGTTCAAAAACGAAATCTTCAACAACAATATTCACCATGAGATCCCTTTTCCATAAGGCTGCAACGATAAGATCCACTCTTCTTATGGTTGGTCTTCTCTATGTGTGCTCAAACCACCTTAGTTGATAGAGTCGTCTTTTCCTGAATAAGTACCATGTCATATCTCGTCTTATACATCCATGAAAACATTTTCACTTCTTATACAGACGAAAGGAGAGTAATGGGGACCTATTAGATCCTTACCAGACCAAAGGGGTATTCATCAAAGAGCAATCAAAAAGTGATATTAGAATCCCGGGGAAGCGAAATCCAACAGAGTGAATGTTGTCCTTACTTTAGAGATGAATGCTGAAAATTTATTTAAAGCACGTATTATAGTCTTGTTGAAAGTTTCATGAATCAGAAGTGGTACGAAAGACTAAAACATCTAAGGTAGGAGATTAGTAGTCCACTTATGATGAGTAGACCACACATTACACAAAGCTAGATATCGACTTAGTGGTAAAGTTGGAAGGAAGAATGAGAGAGGTTCTGTGTTCAACTTCCTCACTAGCATGAGAGTTATAAGATTGATTTGAAAGATTTAAAAGGAAATGTGGGATAGGTTATGGGTTTATCTCCCCTCTAACAAAATACTCAACTATGAAAAAAAAATTACACTTAGCTAGATATTAGAGAATAAAAAGCTCATGAAAAGAAGGAAAATTACACGAACCTTTTCTTCGAGTCACTGGCAGTTCCTGTTGCGGATGTTTTACCACTTCCAGAGACAACCTCGTCCATGCTTTGTCCTTGCCGCCTATACCTACCACCCGATGCCACAAATGCAGGGCATGGCCTGTAAGCCTTTATAGGCCACCACCCAAACCCTGGCACTGTTGCAATTCCACCCTGAATCCTTCCTTCACCATTGCATCCTTTCTCTATTTCTTCTCTTCCACATGCCTTACAACCGCTGTGAAAAAACACCTCGAATTAGTTGCTCTCTGTCAAGAAAAAAATATATACACACTATTTTCCATGCAAGAGAGAAGACAATATGGTACGGGAATTACATATAATGCTAAATCATTATACCTCACGAATTCTGACCGATCAACAAGAGGAATATCGTCTGGTGCAGGAGAAGTACCCTCATCGATAACAGAAGATGGAGTAGAAGGAGAGCACAGTGTAACAGTTAACTTCGAAGAAGAAGAAGAAAGAGAAGGGTAGGTCGGAGCTGGCCACGAGTTTTTGTAGCTGCACAACTGAGGCGTCGGAACCGAGAAAACAGATATTGTCATTCTCTCTCCTCTCGCGCTCTCTGGGGTGGATAACGTGCTCCACTCACACCGTTGTAACGTGAGGCTGCCAAGTGCTAACGCAACGATGTAACAACTACTTCACTACTCCCTACACACTTCTCTCACCACTAATAAAGTGACGAGGGCAGCCTCTGCCAAGTAATATTAAGATTTGCAGCAAAATTTATATTGTTAAAGTCTTGCCGAAACAGACTGATAATTCGCACTCAATATTTTTCTATACTTAATTTATTTAGTGTTAGATTTAATTATTAGCAATTTACAAACAATAACATAAAAGTCCAAACATATTAGCAAATTAAAATTCATCGGTACATTTTAGCACGTGATCTTACGATTGTTATATTCCTTCATTCTGATAAGATTACTTGGGAAAATTTTAGTACGCTCGCAAATTATACTTTTTGACATGCGAATTGTTGTTATATGCTTTCTACGCCAATTCTGAATCTCTCGTCGAGGGGGTTTAACAAAAAAGAGTACTTCTGGAACTACCAATTCTGAATCTCTCGTAATCATGCTTTACAATAAAATCATGATTTTGTTAGCATAGGATTCAAAAATCAACTCACAGGAAAATGATGCACAACTAGGATGAACGAAAAATAATAGAGAATGCTTGTGCATTTGCTCCCCCCGACGACTGCTCAGCCTTGCTTTTCACAAGTAGATTGGATGCCTGCAAAGTATGAACGTCCTGATCCAACGAATCATTCACAGGTAACCACTTTCTGCCCATCTTTTTTGCGTTTACTTTAATCCATTTACTGTACTTATAACTCTTTTCTGGCGCCATTGCCACTGCCTGTCTTATATACAGTATAAAAATGAAACTAAAATTGGAAACTACAAAAGGATCTTTCAAAGAAATCACGAAAATTTCAAGCATCTTGCTTCTGCAAATAAAACCACCTTTTGTAACCAGTATCAGACATAAAATGTATCATCTCTCACTATTATCCATGCACTATCTGATGGTCCACATCCCCATTCATCATAGAACTGTGATGATGAACCATATACCACCGTCCATTATGGAACTCAAAAACATTTGTCACATTGAATGGCCCTGTATCCATGTCAACATATGTTCTCATGGTAACCCAAGCCATGTCTGCCAAGACGCGAGCGCGCACATCTCGAACCTGAAAATTCAATCCTTGCTCCCAGTTGAATACTAGTTGCCAACTCTGCATTACTGCATTAAACCTGTAGCATGGACAATTGTGTTACTGGATGCATTGCAGAAAATGGATTAGGTAAAAAAAAAATCGATACATAATTTCAAAGGCAAGCAAGAACTTCAGAAATAACTATATACGGAATGAACGGGATTTTTTTCATAAGGACAAAAATATTCTATTTTTGTTCAAAATGCATGTATATCTGGATTATCAAGCTCTACAGTAATACGAAAACCTGTATTCTTGAAACTAGTATTTCTCGAGAATTCAGTTAAAGTATCCAAGATAAAAGAACAGTAACAGAAATGTGCACTCTAATGTTGCCACATTCTACATTAGATCTCTCCAGTACTTATCCCAAAAACAAGTGCTAAGGAGTAAAATTTTCAAAGGTATAACATAATAATACATCCTATAATTTTCTGATCTAAATATGATATCACTGGTCCAGATTTAAATTATTATCATTAAAAATGAAATTCAATGACCTATGACAAATATAATCATCCATGAACTTTTGGCAGTTTGATAGATATACCATTCGTACCATATAAACAATCTTTTTAATTATCACAACAACCTATTATATATGAAATCAATATGAAAAGCTGGTCAAAACGAAAATATTCTTGCAAAATGGATAGAAGCAAAACTCATACCCGGAAAAGAGTTCTCCTGAGGCATGAATGCACTTCACATAATCTGCATTCAGCCAAAAACGACTCATTGCTGGAAGAGACTTATCTCTTACAATATTGAAGAATTCTGTATTAATATTCACAATTGCTCTTGTTGCAGCATAGTACGCCTTCCACCCATTGGTGGGTGTGATACTATCTTGTTCCAATGTGAAGTCCTAAAACCACAAATTCAGAAATGTTATAACAAAATCAGAATGATGGAACTCACTGTAGAATCCAATGAAAGTAATCGCATACATTCTCAGATAGGACAAATTAAAGCGTAGTTATTGCTCATATCAATTTAATTTACACTTTTATGGTTTATCATACAACATATAAGAAATACAAGAAAATTGTGATACAAACACACACACACACACACAATTATCTAGTTATAGAAACCTAAGTTGTACGCAGACAAAATTTAAATGCACCAAATTTTCATAATTATTAACTCAAAAATTCAATTTATTAGGAATCCAAATGAGTTGAAAGTCTCGTATCGAATAAAAATAATAAAATTGAACATATAAGTAAAAAGATCCACAAACATAATGTCTTAAAGTTTTGGGTTAGAAGTGATGTCATAATCTCTTGTATTGTTAACTCATGGATCATTGGTGTTAAATCTCCTTAGTGTATTCTCCCTAGAAAAATCCTAATAATAGTATCATAGCCAATTATTTATCTAGGTAACAGGCTCACCCTAGAAAATCCTATCAATGTTATCAGTGCCAAAACAGGGACAAGCATGTTCCATTGTGTTAAATCTATCCCGTGTATTCCCCTACAAAAATTCAAGCACAGTTTCTTTGCATGTCCAACCAAGCATTCATAGCATCTTTAGTTACATAACAATTATTTCTTCCATCAGCAATTGTTCCAAACCACGACCTTAATGCACCTTCTTGTTTTCTAGGAAGCCTTAACGTTCTGCATTGATGCGTTAAATAACAGTTTTAGTGCCTCTGCCTTCTTGATTTCTTGGAAGCCTTAAAATTTTGCATCCATGTGCTGTTAGATAACTGTTGTAGTGCCGTCACCAATTTGTTTTCTTGTAGGCGTTAAAATTTTGCTTCAATGTTGCTAAATAACCATTACCGTGCTGTTGCCTTCTTGTTTTCTAGGAAGCTTTAAAGCTTTGCATCCGTGTTGTTAAATAATCGTCATAATGCCATCACCTTCTTGTTTTCTAGGAAAACCTTAAAGCTTTGGCATGTATGTTGTTAAAACCGTTATAGTGCTGCCTCCTTCTAGTTTTCTGGGAGGCCTTAAAGTTTTTCATCTGTGTTGTTAAATAACTGTACTAGTGTTGCTGTCTTCTTGATTTCTAGGAAGCCTTACAATTTTGCAACAAATATTTCAGATAACTGTTGTAGTGCCACCACCTACTTGTTTTCTAGCAAGCTTTAAAGCTTAGCATAAAACATTATTAAATAACCATTATAGTGTCGCTGCCTTCTAGTTTTCTACAAAGCTTAACCTTGTTAAATAAACTATATAGTGTCACCGCCTTCTTGTTTTCTAGGAAGCCCTTAAAGCTTTACACGCATGCTGTTAAAACGGTTAAGGTGCTGCCACCTTGTGTCTTTCTAGGAACCCTTCATCCATGTTAAATAACCAACACAGTGCTACAACCATCTTGTTTTCTAGGAAGTCTTAAAGTTTTGCCTCCATGTTGTAAATAACAGTTATAGTGCCGCTGTTATAGTCTAAATCGAGTGACGTTTTCTCAAACCCTCCTCTAAGATTTGTGAAATGACGCCAACTACGGTGGCACATAAGGCCACAACGGAATGTTTGTATGGTGGAATTTTGGCATTTCGCCATATTCTGCCATCCACCATCGATAACCTTGCTTTGCATACAAACCTCTGAAAGAGCACTCCTAACATGATTCAACTCAATCTTTTCCTCCAATAACAAATACAAAACATACAACTAAGGCCAAAAAGGCAAGAAAATGCCCGAAAGCATTTTAAACAAACCAGTAGAAACTCTGCAGCATCATTTATAACTCCTCTCAAGAAACAGTACAGAGCCTAAAAGAACTAGAAAATCCTAACATCATTTCCTACATAGCACGAGATAACAAATAAACAAAAAGAGAAGCACGAGAATCAGAATTCAGTAATTCACCTTGTGATACAAGGCCTTCCAAGCGTTATCATCATTCGCGGCCTTTCGCATCAGAGAATTGGTCATGGAGAGACGGCAGAGACTGGGATAATCCAAGTAACTGAGCGCGTGCGTCGTAATCTCCGGAACCAGTTCCTCCATCATGGACGACCCCGTCAACCGCTCCCCCAAGACCACAGGCGCCGGAACAGGACTGGGCTCAAGCATTTCAACGGCGCCGTTGAGGTAGGGCACGGCGCCTGAAGCGGCCACGGACGCTGAATCGGAGGCGCAATCGCAGTGGTGCTTCCTCGGCGGAGTGAATCTCCGAGGAAGGGAAAACGATCGGAGGAGAGAGTAAAGCGCGAGGAGAAAACAGAGAGCAGTCACGGCAACGGCGACGTAGGACGGTTCGGAGAAAAGAGAGAAAATCTCCATTCATAAGTCATCAAAACTCGGCATTTGAAGAACATCAAAACCCTAATTGAGGTATTAATATATATATATATATAGTTAGTTTGTTTGGTGTTTTTGTAGAGTGTGGAGTGATTCCCAAACCCTAGTTAAGTTTGAAAGATTTGAAGAGAGAAGGTTTTGGTTGGAAGCGATAGGCAAACCCGTGAACGTTGAAGAGGTTACTGCCGCTGTTAATCTGACTCAGACTCACTCACTCCTTCTTTCCAAACCACCAACCACAGCCACAGACACTCTGAGAGAGAACCACCCAACCTCTCTTCTGCTCTGCTCTCCTCATTGCTCATCAAATTAATTTCAATTATATTTTCATTTTCATTTATTACCAATATCATCACTTTTTTCTTTTTTCTTTTTTCTTTTTTTTTTTTAAAAAAATATACGCATGTGTTTTTTATTTGACGTGGGTTCCTGGGATCAAATTCAATTCCATTCATGCATGTTGTTGTTGCTCTGAATTCTTTCTATAGCTTTTAGAGAGACCCGTCAACAAAATTAAATGTACGTGCCTTTCTATCTCTCTTACCTACACAACAAAATTCTTGTTATAATAATTATAAATTCATTTATCAAATAATGTATATATATATATATATATAGGTTTTTTCTCGTAATTTATTTTTTATTTAATTTTTTGTGTTTGTCATTTCATGAAGGTGAAAAATGGAAGTGCGACTTTGAAACTCTTTGAGAATAATGAAAGAAAATTCGGCGACTGACTACCGTACAGAGCCAATCAGGAACCGTTGGGCATAATATTAAACTTTTATTCGGAAATTATGACTCTTAGGTATTATCAAAAAATAGTTTTTTAATAAAGAATATTTTTGAAGAATAGAGAAATTCGCAATTTAGATCTGATTTACTGATTTAAATTTAATTTATTATAATGAAATATTTAGTTTGCAATTTTGGTTGACCTATACCCTAAACCT